CAGTGCTGCCAGACTCTGAATGGCATGCGAGCTGAGTCAGGCTTATACTTTCCACTAGTAAAAGCTACACAATTTTAAGGTCCTGCAATACCTTCTACCTTTAGAAACTTAGTTTTAAAGCACAACTAGGAAGAAAATAACCTTCCAGTGTTTGAGACTGTAATTAAAAATATTAAAAATATAAAAGTCAGCAGCAGCCTACCCCCTTACTGCTTTATCTGTGGACAGCGTAGACAACTATCAATGTCCAACCATAATTAAATATTTCCTCTTAGTATCCAATAATGTACATTTGCAAAGAGAGGAAAACATCATTTCCAACAAAAATGATTTTCTACCAGCGAGTGAATTACTGTAAGGAGTTCAGTGGGTCACTGGCACCAAAGCAATGATTATTCTCCCAGAGCTCACACACACTGCTCAGCCGGGGGACATGCACTGACACCACTAATTACTGGCTTTGCTCCCACCATGAGAGCTTATGGTATGAGCAGCAGTGTCCCTCCTCTTCCCCAGACTCTTTCTACCTTTATTTTATGCACACTTCAAACTGCATCACCTTACTGCTGGGTCAGACCACTGACAACTTGAAAGGCAGCAGCCTCCCCCACCAAGTTTCAGACCTGGAAGACACTGCTCAGAGCCTGCCCTTCCTCAAGCACAGGCATTCCTCACCTTCCTCACCTGCTACACAACAGGCAGACCCCAGGGAAAGCTGACAGCTCAGCTGAGCCCTGGGTGGTGAATGTGAAGGCCATGAGCTGCCTAAGCCCCGCTCCACACTGGTCAATCAAGTCCTCAGGCTTCTCCAGAGGACACAAAGATGCTGTGGAGACCAAAGCTCAAAAGCAGCCACGAAACCTTCAAGGGGGAAAAACTGAGTTCTGTTTACATCAGATTCAGCTAAATAAATTTGAGCAGATTTGCACATTAAAAAAAAGCTATAATATGTCTTTCAACTACATTAAGAAGAAACAAGAAATATATTTAAGCCTCAAATTCTGAGCTCTAAACCAAATTTAGCCATGTTGGGCTTTTAAGTAACAAAAATTTCAGTTCATGAAAAAAAATGAAGAGTCATCTAGTTCTAAGAAGGAAAAAATAGCAAAACAGAAGTGAAGGAAAGAACTACTGTAACATCAGGACAAGAATTCACAACATGAAATACCATTAATGCTTATGCTAGCAAAATTAATTAAATTAAAAAAAAAGGCAAACGACAGTTTGATAACACCTCTGACTGCCCAGAAGAGGCACATAAATGCTTTAGGCCGAGGAGCACATCACCCTTCACTGCTGTTCAGCGGTTCAGATGCTGCACTACAACAAAACTGGTTGTACTAGAATAACACAGGAGATTATAAAATGCATTTACCCCACTCTGAAGACAGCACTAAGCAGACAATCTAATTCCTATGGTTAAGCAAGCATGAAAGGGAAGTGCTTTTAAAGTTACAAACCTTTTCTCGCGTTACACTTCAGCCCATCTGATCTGCTGAAATCTATGCTTACATAAGCTCCACTGTCCAAACCTGAAGTACCATTTTGGAGATGGCAAGCTGGCGCTGTAGTACTCGCCTCACAGCTTAGAGGGTCATCACGTAAATTCAGAGCAATGTAGTTTAAGCCATTCTGAAATCCAGTTGAGGTATCCCTGGACATTTTGTTTTCCTGACCATCAGAAATGTTTTCATCTGGTTTCAACCAAACGTTGTCGAATGAGGCAGAGCTGTGTCTTTTGCTACTGTCAGTAAAGAAAGAGGATGAGGTTGTCACAGTCCCAGCAGAAGAGAACGTCTCAGAACTGTGTCTCCTCCTGCCTTGAGGGTCAGCTCGAATCACTTTCGGTCCTATAGGAGGGTCAGAGCTAGGGACAGAGAAGCTACTGCTACCAGCATATCGATCAACAATGCAGAGTCTATTAACGATGGAAGAAGGACTATCCATCTTCACAGCACTGTCAGATTCAGTGGCAAATGGCCTTGGTGGTGTTGCTGCCATGTTGAACGTCATCTCAGTGTAGTCATCAGTCCTGTTACTTGCTGTGCTAACACAGGCAGCACCAAATGAGAGCCTGGCATAGTCAGGGTTTGGTTGGTTTCTAGGAATACTGGAACTTGCATAAATTGAAATATCTGTTAGGGAGTTTGACAGTTCCTTCGCTGCTTTCGGTGACTGCACATCCAAGTCAACACTCATGTAATCAGAGAGCGGTGACTGCCTGTGGTCACTGCTTGAGCCTAGAGATGATGGAGATCCTTCTGCAGATAAGGAATAGGGCGTGTTACTCGCCTTTTCACTGAAATCAATATTGATGTATTCACCAGGACTCGCCGGCTCAGGCGGAACTGTACGATCATACATTCTGGGGATGGTATTACTCCCTCTCGTACCTAGGGGCAGCCGTGTGGGCCTGGCAGCCCTGCTCTGCACAAGTCCTTCATCCGAACCCTTCAACGTTGGCAATTTAGAGATGCCATTAGCCAGAGTCTCGCTGCTGACCCCCTTCACATTTTCTGGTGCACCATACAAGAGTTTTCCAGGTGAAGACATTGGAACATATTCACTGTGGTCACCATTTTGTCCTGATAATGCCTTAAAGCTTCGGGGCAAAGAAAAATATGAACTAAAACCTTTGGAAACAGAAGTGGTATGGATATAATTTGAATCACTGGGGTGTTTTGGAACTGAATTGCCAGGTGACATATCCATATACTCGTTGTTTACGATCTTCTCATTACTTCCTTTAGAGGCAAATCCAGTTAAAGGACTCCGTACAGGTGAAGAGCTGCCCTTTGGAAACATCATCATATAGCCTCGGGAGTCAACCTGAGATGGTGACCATGAATTGTTAATCTGTTTTGGAACAGACATGCTTTTAGGAGTCATTGGCAAATAATCGCTGGTGCTGGATAGAGAAGATGCAACTCCTGGCATCATTGGCATGTACCCATCATCCCTGGCTTTACTCCTACTTTGGTTACAAGTGGAATCAAGGGTAGTGTCACTGTACTCCAATTCATGGTTATCTTTCAATTTTGGTGTTTCAGAGTAAAGTAATCGTCCATGATTTCCTGCAGAATCTTCATCCAACAAAGCTGTAGTTTGCGTTGTCTTCTGCTGCACTGCCACAGAAGCTGGCTTTGTCAGAGAGTAAGCTCTTTTCCTGAAGCATTTTTCAGCCTCCATATAATCATCTCTTGAGCCATCATCTCCCTGTTGCTTATTCATGGACATGTACTCACTCAGACAGTTCTCCTCTCTGATAGGTGGCGTGTTTCCCAAGGAATCTGGTGTATTACTCCTCACCCTAAAGTACCTGAAATCGCCAGGGCTGGAGCCATACTCATCAGAAGAGATGAATCCCCCATCGCTTGGGGAACCACAAACAGATGAGCTGGAAGGCCTGGTCAGCATGTCCGAAGCAGAACCATGGCCACTGCTGGAAGAAACACTGATGGGACTTGTGGTGGAGGGAAAATGAGAAACAGGCAGCGAAGCAGACCTGGTGTGGTAAGATGAGCTGAAAGCAGCTCTCACGTACCTTCCACTCCCTTCTTGCCGGCCCAAATTCATCCTTGCAGTATTCAGGTGTATCAGACTCCCCGTCACTGACCTAAAAGGTCTAGTCATGGTTCCTTCTCCTTCACTGGATGTTCTGAAACGATAGGAGTTGTTGCTTTTGGTGGTAGGAGGAGTGCCTCCAGCAACGCTCTCAGTTCTAGATCTTCTCTGCAAGCCTGTCTGGCTGGGGGGAAGGTTGCCCAAGTGCCTTCTGGTGGTGATGAAGGATATGGGATTGGTACCGCTGCCACCACCAGAAGACTGGCTCTTGCTTCGGGGCCTGAACTCTGCAAAGGCCTTCAGAGCTTTCATAGTATCCAGAAAAGTCTCGTGCATATTTTGGGCAACAACCGAATCATCCACTTGCATCCAGAGCTCTCCAGGCCCAATGGAGGCAGATCTGCCCACTTCAATGAAGAAGAAGTTCTCTGAGTGTCCGCAGCGGCGAATGTTCATAAGCTGCAAGTGAACAGAGGGCACCTCCGAGTTCAGCTTGACAAGGTGGATGGCTTTGCTGGAGAGGCACAACCTATACACTCCAGTGAGGTTTTTCGTTTGTCCCAAGCCTTTGGGCTTCACGTTGACCTGCCACACCTCCTTGAAAACAGTGCCAGGCCTCAGGGTGGCCCCGTAGTGCTCATCATCGTCATCCACCTGCTGGTCGGCGTGGTCCTCCTGCTCCAGGAAGCCCCTCTTGCTCTGATTCATGAGCTCGCTGATGGCCTGGTACCAGGCCTCCTGCTCGGCGTCGTTCTCGGCCAGCATGGCGAAGTACTCGTCCTTGGTGTACAGGGCGATGATGTGCTTGTGCTTAGCGTCGGCCCGGCGGCTCACGGTGAAGCACTGGTACAGGGGGATGACCCGCTTGGGCGGGGGGCAGCACAGCGCGGCCGCCCCGCCGGCCCCCGCCGCCCGCAGGCTGCTCTTGAACTTCTTCTCGCTGTCATAGTACTCCAGCCGGGCGGGGGCCAGGTGGCTCTCGGCCCGCAGGACGAAGTAACGCTTGTGCCCGTGCTTCTGCTTTCGCAGGTACCCGCATTTCCTCACGTCCTCGCCGGAGGGGCGCGGCTCCGCCTCCCGTGTGCCGGGCGCCCGGCTCCTCCTCGCCGCCGCTGCCGCCGCCACCGCCGCCGCCCGAGCCATTCATCCCGCTCGCCATCTTAGGGGCCGCGCAGGGTCCGGTGCCGCCGGGGACGGGGCGCAGGGCGGGCAGCGGGAATCCGCGCTCACCGGAGAAGCGCCCCGTGCATGGGAAGCGGGCGGTGCCTCCTGCGGCCCCAGCCCGCTCCGCGCTGCCCCGCTCGCTCCGGCCACTCGCACTCACGGGCGGCGGCGGCGGCACCGCGGCGAAAACATCACGTGACTCCGCGGAGGGCGGGGCCGCGGCGGGCGGGGCGCCCGGCGCGCGGGGCGAGGGGGCAGCGGCGAGCCGACCGGGCCGCGCGCCAGAGTGGCAGTGGCAGAGCCAATAGGAAACGGCAGTCCTTCGCCAGAGAGCCAATCAGCGGGCGTAGCGGGGAGGAGAGGCGGGCTTCGCTGCGCCCTGTCCTGGGAGGCGGGGCTACAAAGGACGGACAACACGGCGGACCAATGGGAGGCGGCGGCCGCGCCGGGCTGGCCGCGATCTGCAGGGGTGTTTCCTGTGCTGGGGAAAGAGGCGGGGCCAGCCGTGATTGGCAGGAGTGTTGAGCGGTCGGTCCGACAGCCAATCCGCGCCTCACACACACAGACGGGGGAGGCAAGGCGGGGGGGCTGTGTATTCGGCGGCGAGAGTAAGGGGGAAGGCGGGGCATTGAGGAGATGGGCAGGCCTTTTGGCTAATCAGCGCAAAGCCCCGGCTGACGAACACTACCGGCTGACGTTGCGTTCGCCCGGTTCCTTAGGGGCGGGGCCCGCCCCTAGCGCGCGGAGCTGGCGGCGGCTGCCATTGGCCGGCGGGGAGGGCGCGCGGGGGGGGGCGGAGCGGCGGCAGGGGCGGGGGGGCGGAGCGCGCGCCGCAGAGGAAGTAAACAACCCGGCCGCGCGCGAGCGGCCCGCGCGAGGGGCCGCGCGTGACGGCCCCCCCGGGCGCCATGTCTGAGCCGGGGCTCTGCCTCAGCCGCCCTCACGGACCCCACACATCCTCTCAGCCTCTAGAGCCCACTCACAGCCCTACAGACTGTCATAGTCCCGACAGCCGCTCAAAGCCATCACAGACTCTCTCATAGCCCCCACCACCCCCCAAAGCCCTCACAGATTCTCTCATAGCCTCCTCAGAACCCTCACAGCCCCCTCATCCCCCCCTTGCTGCGCTGGCAGAGCAGCGCGGTGTTGGTGACGTGCAGTGGTTGTTTATTTTCCGTACGCTGCTGTGTCACCCTTGTCTCGGGTTCGGGGCTGCCCGCCGCCAGTCGCAGTATGGTGACAATCCGCGGTACTGCTGTGACCGCTGTGCAATCCTTTGCCTGTGGCATCCGAGTAGGCCACTGACATAACTCCTAGGGTTTAGGTCAAAATATGAGAAGAGTGAAGAGCAAATTCATTCTGTTTCACAGTTAATGGGCACTTCTGTGACGTAAAAATCTCTGCTCCATCTAGATTAATTGTATTGATAAAATACAGCGCTGGATGTTATTACACGTACGGCTGCCCCACCGTTTCAGAGGCAATGTTGGAGGGCAGGGAGCCACTTCCAGTCCTCTCCCCACTTCCCCAACACTCTCTTCCTCTGGTGATTAACTGCTGCTTTTGCCCGCCCGCCCGTGTGCTCAGCGAGGCCGCTGTCCGGGCTGTGGGCAGAGCACACAGCGCTCCGTGACAGCCCGAGCCCAGGCCTGCTCCTGTGCGGGGGTGCCTAAACTGCAGGGCAGGGCAGGGTGTTGGCCGGGATGCTGTTCCTGGTGCCTTCTCACTCCGAATAAAAGCGTCCCTGCCAAAGGTACCTTTTATTTGAGTTAGGAGTTTGTGTGTGCCAGTCATGTCAAGTGTAAAAATAATCCTTTTCCTGTAATACAACAGCAAAGATCGTTTCCCTAGCCAGGAATTTTGACCACACGTCTCTTTACTTTCTGTCTTGATTTGCTTTCAAGTCATTCTTGGACTCCCTCACCTATGATTCATCATGAGGTGACAACTCTCAACAATTCCTGACACCAGCTTCCATCACCCACTTGGTTTGTTTTGGGATAAATAGCTCTGTGTTTTCTTTCATTCTCCCTCTCAGGTGTGGGAAAAGATATTTTTTGAAAGTCCAGTAACTCAATTTGAAAGCTGACATGCCAAGCCTAGTACTTGCCATATTGATTGTTTATGTCTCTTGTTTTTCATAATTCTCTATTCACTGCCTGCTCACAGTGTTTAAGCTGCACTCTTTTTGGTTTATGTTTTTACATCATCTAACATGGCATGTTCCTGTACATGATTAGAGGTCCTAAGTGTTATGGCAATACAGTAAATAGGTTGTAACTACAGAAACTTATTTATTCCCAAAACAAGAATTATTAACACTAGAAAACTGAGATTAAATATAGTTTTTAAAGCCATTCAGACATGTTGGCACAAAAATACACAACTAAACTCTCCATTAGTTAATGGTGTCATGAATTAACTATAAAATTATATTGCAGTATATTGTTAATAGCCCTTGGTAGAATTAAACTGGTTTCTGAAGATGAATTCCTTTTATTTTTCATTCTTTTCTACCTGGTCTGTCAGTTGGGTGAGGCTGAGATTTCCATAATTGTTGGGGTTTCATTCTGTACTTTTACATGAAAATTTAAAGTGGTTTTAAATGTATAGAGCAAGGTGAACTTTGTTCATTGCATGCTTATTTGGGCTGGTTGCTGCAGGATATACATGGGAAGAAGAAAGGAAAACTTTTGAAAGAAAGGGCTTGGGTTCTCTTTTTTGTTTATGTTTTTTTTTTAGTCATCAACCTCTGGGCTTGCTTGACAGTAACTATGAATAATCTGTCCCTGTAAGAAGCAACGTATTACTGTTTTCTGGTCTCTTTTAGAGTCCTTTGCTCTTACATTGCACTTACAGTGCTTTTGCTAGGGAGGTGAGAAAGCAACCTATGCATAATTAAGTCATGCAGAATTTTGGGGTGGTGGACACATGTGATCAGACCCGCAGGGACCTGCAGAAACAGAATAAATAGAAATGGATTTTTCCACTGGGTTCTCTCTGGCTTAAAAGAAGTGCTTAGCATTCCTGAAAACTTAATTTGTTCATGTTTTCCTACATGACTACTACTAAAAAATACTTACTGAAAGTACAAGGTAATCTATAATTTGCATACCTCCTCTCAACTTTCATTAGTAGGAAGAACAACTATTTGTTTTCTCTCTCTTTGAATATATATTGTTTAGAGTCTTTTGTGCAGTTGTGGAATCAAAATTACTGGTTTCCTATAGTAATGATTTTTTTATTTTTGTAGCTTATATAAAACATTTAAGTATACCTGTTAGTGTATGATACCCCTCCATTACTGAAATAATTGTCTGGCTATGGGATTGGATCTAATTTTACTACCTTTTTTGTCACAAATGATTATAACTTTCACAAATTTCTGTAGGTGTCTTTCTTACTGTTTCTCTGGCTACTCGTCTGGCACATAGCCATAGTTCACTATGTGACTGAAGTCAGTGCCCCACTTTTTATAAAAAATCAGCTTTATATTCTTCAGTTTTGCTGACAGAAACCAACATAGCCTGTGTATGAAATGTTTCCTTAGCTGTGGGTGCATTGTCTTTCAGAAACTAAAGAGAAATCAAGATCCCCTCCACGCGTCTCTTGATCTTCACCAGACTTGAAGAACCTGTAGTTCTTAGAGCTGGAGGTATGTTTGCTTTGTGTTTCATGTATTTGCTCTTTCTACCCTACCAACTGTCTGCATGAAGCAAGCACTGTCAAAGGCCAAAAATTTGAAACCATTTCTTTCATGGCAGTTTCCACAAGTGGCTATAATGTGTGTAATATAAAGCAATTAAGCTATTGGTAGTCATATTGTTGACCCAAATGGAGGGCCAAATATGTCATCTGTGGCTGAAGTACTGAGGAACAAGGAATGGGTTCCTGCAGGGATCTCTGAAATTCCATAAGGAGTGATATTATTAATTTAGTTAAGATATAAGAAGTAAATTATTTTGGACGTGATATTGCATGATTTATTGCTCATTTATTCTAGTTACAACAGTCTATCTTATGCCCATCCTCAGTTACATCTACAGGAGTAATTACCCAATAAAACCAGAAAGGAAATCAGTTTTGTTGAGTAGTAAAACACAATCCTGGCTTGGTCCTTCTTGTGACATGTTCATAAAAGAAAAGGAACTGGAGAAATTACCTCTGTATAAATAAAAATATCTCAAAAGTATTTAGCAACCAAAGGATGTTAAGTGAAAGGTAAGATTCACAGTTTTTAATTGTATGTGTTATATTTTCACCAATCATATATTTCTATACATTTGTGCAAAATAAATTAATGTAATTGTTCATAATGTGTATTTGTGGCCCAAACTCTTCCCTCATTTTAACTTTACATCTCCAAAGTAGCCTGCTGTCATTACCTTCTTATCAGTTGTGCTCTCACAGTAGGTCATACGGTGATTTTTACAAGAGGCAAAGTTAGCTCACAAAACCAAAAAGAACAGTGGTTTTAAATTACCAGTTAGCATGGGTCATGCTGCAGATGGGGAAGTGTCCCTGTCCACTGTATGTCAGTGGAATAAGGAAATGAAACTATTGTGCCATTTCCTAACCAAGATTCAGAGGACAGTAATACCCTCTGTTTAAGGTACAGATAGGGAGCTCTAAATTGTCACTTCAGTTTGCAGCTTGCCCTACTTCCTTGGGCAAATCTCTCCCTCTGCCGTGTTTCAATCCCGTGGTCATTTAATGGAAATAAGAATTCCTCCCTTTCTCAAAAGAGTGTTTTTAGAGATAAAATCTGTTCATGACAAAAAGCCTCACACATTTTGGTATCAAGGGTTATATAAAATTATTGTAAAGCCAGCCTGAGGGCTTCCTTTATCCTTACAGTTGTGTAGAATCCACTAAGAGTCCTCTACACACGCATTTCCCAGCATAAGCTACATGTGGTCTTATTTCCCTCATCCAGGGAAATCCTGGGATCCATCCCCATCCTTCCTTGCTGTGTTGAAATAAGATGCTGGAACCTTCACAGCAATTGTGATGATGCTCACTTATGAAAATGTACAGATTTGAATTTAAGATTTTCAGGCACAAAGATTAAAGGCAAACATATTAAAGAGTTCCCAGCTTAAGTTAGAGGGAGCTGTGGGTGCTCAGCACTTCTCTGATAATGAGGATTTGGTTGTTTATTTGTTCCATTATACTCCTTTCACCATCTATCTAATCCTATCACATCATTGTCTACAGAAATACTCAGACTCTTGGTTTCTTTACTGTTCTGTATAATTGGGGATGGTGTCACCACGCAGTGAAAAGAGCCACAGAATGCTGTTTTTCAAAGGCATACACTCACATTAGCACAACGTTTCTCACTGGATCATGAATGAATAGTAAGATTATTCTGCCTGTTTGGTTTCCTGTTGATGGATAGTTGCTGTTTGCGATATACAGATTTAGGATTATGTTTCATATTATGCAACTCTGCTAGTGAAAGAAACATAAATGTGCTCTTTTGCTATACACAGTTTGGCCATATACAGGGTTTATAGTACTAGCAGCAATCTGTAGCAACATCAAGCAGGGAGATTAATTTCATCTCCCCCACCAAAAAAAGAAAGGCCTTTTTGATGCCCAAATGGGGACATGAGGAATTTGAGATCAGGACAAAGGAAAAGGTAATGGACAAAACATGGATGAACAATTCTAGAGAGGGAAGAGCAGAATGATTGTGGAGCATTTTGGTAGTCGTAGTTGTGGTGAAGGAATGAGGGGAGTATTGTCTGTAACTTTTGTTGTTGTTGATGTTAGTTTGATTTTGGTGCAGGGAATTCTTTTGGTTGATGTAAGTGAAGTTTGTGATGAATGTGTGTTTCAATTATAATTCTTAAACACACAGTACCCAGAGGTGCGGGATGGAATGTGTTTGGTTTGCTGGCGGAGGCAGCACGGGGTTGGTCACATGCAGTGGGTTGTTCTGGTAGGTTTGGGTAGCTGGGCCGAGGGGCTGCACGGGTGGCTTCTGTGAGCAGCTGCCAGGAGCTTCCCCCGTGTCCAGTACGGCCAGTGCCAGCCTAGGCGGTGCTGGCCCCTCAGGGGTGGTGTATTTAAGACGGGGGGGAAGGCGTGATTATTGGTTTTCTCAGGTGGTCGTCCCTGTTTCCATCTCAAGGAGGGCAGAGCTTGGTTCCTCCAGTCTCCTTCTGGAATTCCCTGATGCTCCCTAACCTTTGTCCCCCGCTCGCAGCCGCTGTGAGCGAATCCATCTTCTGGGCCTGGGCTCGCTCCGCTGCTCCCGCGCTGCCCCTCTGGCACCGGGGCCATGGCAGCTGTGTCCATGGCGAGTGCCGAGGACGTGCCTTTGTACCCGTCCCGTTGGGAGAGCACCGGGCGGCGGCCGGGAGCGCCTCCGGACCCGCGGGGGGACGGACAGAACGACGGAGGGCGCGCCCCGCCCGGCGCTCCCGCAGCGAGCTTCAGGGAGTGCCCCTGGCTTGGGAATGCCGTAAACTCCAGAGAACCCCTAATTTCCGCTTCCCAAAGGTGCGGTGAAAATAGCTTTATCTTTCTGTAAGGAATTGTTTTAAATGTGAAGCATGACACCACAGACATCTCGGACAACACATACTAAATGCTGCTCTACTGTTTGACATCATTAGCAGAGAGTGGTTGCCTTTTTGATAGTATGTATGAGTCTGGCTTAGTTATTGCAAAGGGAATTAATGCTCAGTGCTTTGGTGTCCCTCACAGTCAGTGCTTGCCCGACACACTTGAGAGCAAGGGTGAGGCAAGTCTGTTCCAGGATGGGACAAAACGTGGCCATGCCCGTTTGGAGCAGCTCAGTGAGAAGCTGTGACTCAGAAGCATCCTCTGAATCATATTTCCCCTGAGCTGTAGCATTGCACAAGTGGGGAGTGTGCCATCAGACCCTGCCAGATGGAGCACGTTCCTTCCTTCATGTCCAGCCAGTTCCCTGTGCTGACACAGAAGGGTGCAGAATGATGATTATGTTTGCTTCTGACCCAAATTCCCCCCACTTCTCCACTTGCTCATGGAAGGAAATAATTTTTCTTCAAGGTTGGCTCATTAATTTAGTGCCCTTAGCACAGTTTTGAGGATGGGTGGCACAGAATGCAGGAATGCCTTACTACTTCCATGCGGAGCTCTGTGACCATCAGATTGCCAGTGAATAGTTTATCTGCTCATGTGTAGGCAGGTGAGGCATTCTACTCACTTGTCAGCTCTGAAACTAGTGCTTGTTCCTTGGGCACTCACTTGTCATCCTATAAGAAGCAAATCTGTCACAGTGAGAGAAGAATCAGCAATGCATACATGACTTGCAAAGGACCAGTCAAGTTTGATTCTCAGCAGACTTGGCAATAATCACTAATATGATAGACAAATCTGAGTTCTTACTTATTTTTTTTAAGCAAACAAGTTGCACTCACATGGAAAACAACAAAAACACCGTTTTTGTCAGTTAAATTTAAGAATTAAAGCTAGCATAATCAAATAATCAGCCAATCAGCTAATTAAGCTCTGCAATGACTTCTAACAGATTCAGGCAGCAGATTTTGCAGATGAGCAGTGATTTATCTGTAAATAAAATTGAGATTAAAGTACTAATTTGTTAATATTAGATCAGCTAGCAATGCAAAGGTCTGTTGTTCTTGATGTCTAAGGAGGTTAATGATTCTGGTAGCCAACTGGGAATCAAACATACTGAGAATTCCTACTTTGGGCAACAGTAATTCTTTGTGAAGCCTGGCAGTGAATAGCTTTTCTTTTTATTTCTTTGTTTATGAAGAAGGAGAATCTATAATAAATAGGATAGTGTGTGTTAAAATAGGTTATTTCAGTGTTAAACAGCTATACTTTTCTAGTGAAATTTTCAGAGGACTTTACCTCAACCATTTACTTAACAGTGACAAATTATGCCCCTGTCAATGCATAAGGAAATACCGATTGCTCAGTTTAGGCTGTAGGACAGCTTGGGTGAGTAGTTCTCACCAACAGAGATACAGAGATAATTATTTTTAATAAAAACCTTTCCAAAACTATCTTAAAACTCCTGAACATAAAATGTGCAGGGTATTCATTTGTAGCACTACATTTCATAGCAATGCATTTCTCATCTTCAGGCATATAAAGGAATAGTGTACAGAAAACAATTTCAAAATCCTTACTAAAGTTCTGCTGTTGCTCCCTTAATCATATTCTAAAGGGTTCATGTTCCAAATTAATAGAGATGAGTGGTTCAGAGAAATGTCAAGTTTCTTCTATGCTGTCTCTTGTGGGTTTTTTCTCCAAAAAGGATTAGGATGGTATTGCTGTGTAGGGAGACAGTTTGGGTTAGTGCCTCTAATATGTTTAAAGTTTACATTTATAGATTAAGACAAAAAACAAAGTAAACCTTTTGGTGTCTAGATTTTTTCTCTGACATAATTAAGGAATTAAGAGCACAGCTCAACTGATTGTTCAGTATACACAGAGCTTATTTAACTCAGCCTTCTATACCTGAAATTTCTCCTTGTAATGAAAGAATGTAAATCAAAGTTCACACAGTTCTAATTTCTTTCACTGTCAAACCCAGTTACATACTGGAGAACGTTGACCTAGTCAATCATTTGCTCAGATACAGAGACTGCTTTTCTTTCAGGAATTTGCACTGAAGTTACCTGCACCAATTGAAGTTGTACTCAGGTACTCGATGTGCAACAATTTACAGCTGACTCAGAGCAGCTCAGTGCAAAAAAACAAAGTGACTAATCTCTTTGTAGAACTGAGGCTTTGCAACGTTGCTCTGAGTCATCATGAGAGCTCAAAGTGCCTTGACTTAGAAGTAAATAGATTTAAACAGAGCACTCAGTTTCAAAACAAACATTACTTCTGGTCCTGTCAAAGTGACCTTGTTAACCCCATTTTACAGCAAAGGGTCACTGATACACAGGGTAATTCCAAATCTCCAGAAAACTATCGAAGTGGAGCCCAAGAAGTTAAGGAAAAATATGGATGAAAGAAGGAAGGCAAAAATATTTTCTTACTAATAAAGAGTGCCACACAAAGAGAGTGGGAGCAGTCTGCCTAATAGAAAGAACGGAACTGAAAGAATAACATGGGAATTGGTGGCATTAGAATATGTAGGAAGAGGTAAGGGAGATATTAAAAAGTTTGCCTGTTCCAAACATATTTTAGCCTCCCTTAATTATTCATTCACATTCTAAGATCAAAAAAATAAATAACTAAACTAAACAGTAACATTAATCCTATGTTATTTGGCAGTTCTCTTTGTGTTACAAATTAATGGTCCTCTAATCTTTGTACTGCTATCTTAAGGGTAAATATTAGTACAAGTGCAGCCAGAATCTCTTCTGAAATGGATAAGTGGTTTGTGACTTTGTTTTCCGGAGCTGCTTTGCTTCAGTGTAACAGGAGTTCAGGTTTGCCAGTGGGTCTGTGTAATAATGCCCATATCCATGCACAAGGAACCTTCACTGGGGAGCAAGTATTTCAGAACTGAAAAGAGCATTCATATACAACTTATAAATTATAGATATCTAAATTAATAGATTTAGTAATTAGATATTCAGTGGTAGCATTGAGTATATTATATAGGGCTTGAGGTAATAATGTGGTTTCTTCCACATATACTACTACATCTCTGTAATTAATTTATATATAGGTATTGAAAAATATTTTTATAGTAATAGTCTCATTTAGTGCCTCATTTCATACAGGCTGCAATTGCTGCAATAGTGGGAAAAGTACATAAATCTAACAAAACTTCAGATATGAACAATGTCTTGTTCTTTGAGTCACAAAATTAGCAAGAGGTAACATGTTCATTAATGTTAGGAAAGGATGTTTGTTTAAATGCTTTTTGCTTGGGGAAGGATCATACATTATCTCAGAAACAGAGCAGATTTGGGCCTAGTCTGTACTTGAATGGAAGATGTGTAATAAAAATTCATCGTATTACGAGAAAGGACGCCCGTGGTTGGGTGGGTTTGGTGGTTATTGCTGAGTCAGTCTGGCAGTCCTGCCTGCTCTGGGAAGGAAACATTTCCGTGCTGGAATTGCATCCCACAGTCATTCAGTGGTTAGGTTAAATTAGGATCCACAGTGTGTGGCATTACATTTAGGAAAGCTTTCTTCTTGAATTTTCAGCTGTGTTCCCGTAACAACAATAGGAAATATGCAAAGTTTGACAGTATTAAAATAATGTAATGCAGTATAAAATAATAAAATAATGGGATACAGTATTAAAATAATGTAAATATACATCAAGTATTATTAATGATTGATACCTTTTGTTTTGTCTTCAGCACAAGTCAGTAGCACAACATGGTCCTCATTACAGTTTCCCTGCTGCTGATCTCTTTGTTGCTCATAGACTTTTTCTTTGTAAAAACAGTAGAGGAAAATTGATTAAAAAATTTTAGATAAATAAATGTTCATTTTATCACATCTACAATACAAATATGAACCTCATAAATGACGCTTCAAATGAGCTGAAAATAAGGAATTGTAGAAAACTGAGATGGGAAGATAAAGATAAAAGGACAATAATGGCAGACTGACAAAAATTTGATGGCATGGATAAAATTAATCAGAATTAATCAAAAAATTGTTTGAAGCCTGTTAGTCCATTCGTTCATACTAATACAAGAAAGACAGACCTTTACAAGGACAGTGTAATCATTACACTTTTGAAATGGCATTCTTTCTGAATCAAAATTTCCTCCAAATCTGACAATTAGGGTGTGATTTAAAATTCACCTTTGTTGATACACACGTTTAGAATCACATTGTGGTCTCAAAATTATAATTGTTTTTATGAGATTGAATTTGATTTTTTCTTGTTTTTCCAAAGCTTCTTTGGAATCCATAAGATTTAATTTCTGTTGATGGTTCACTCTGTCATTGATGTAGCTATCAACATTTCACACACAAAAAAATAGAGAGATTAATTTAACATTGACATTGCTGAAGATCAAAAGGAAAGTTAATTTTTGAAACTTGGGAAAATAAAATTTACATGGAAATTTTCAATATAAAATCCTTTCCTCTATTCCTGTTTATTTTGCTGCTATCGATTAATTCAAAACCCTTTTATCTTTATCCACAAATCTTGTATTCCTACTCAGCTGAGAAACACATCCTTTGCTGTTTCATTGCAGTTTCTCTTGAAATCACCTTTCCAGTCCTTGTCAGGGTGAATGCCCTGTTGTTGGGTCCATGGGACATGGACATAGCCCTGCTGCTGTGTCTGGGCTGAAAAGCACTCGCTGGGCAGGAATTTGGCTTTTTGTTACTGGAGACTCCGAACGCTGGGATCCAGAACACTGCTGGCTCTGGAAATTACCCATTTATGAACCACTTCTCTTTAGATTAGAAGCCAAAAAAAAATCTATAATGGCTACAAGGTCGGTAAAGTAGTTTGCCTGCTTGTGGGAATAAGATTTAAATGTCATTAATGAAGTTAACATTATTATGTATCATGAATCTGATGATTGAAAAAACAGAACAGTGTTTCATAATATCTTTGGGGAATAGTCTGACAAATAGATCTGCAATTAGGGATCATTTCCTGACGGCTTTGGTGTTTTCTGGAAAGATTGTGTAATGTTGATAATGAGTTGTTGGATTATATTCACACTTAAATCATTTAAACTATCTTTGCCTCCTGTGTGGAAAAAGAAACGAGGTATTTTTAGAGGGGTTTTGATGTATTTCCAAATTTTGGGGGTGAAGGAACTTGCTATAGAGTAGATGAAATGTTACTTTGGGTGGGATTTTTCATAGAAAGTCTTACTCTGTTTCATGGGAGAGCTGACAAAGATTAGTTTTCAAATGAATATCAGATAATATACTGCAACAACATCATGTAGTGATATTTTTAAAATAATTGCTAGCTGGAGTAATGAGTAAGTACAGAAAACAAAGACAACTGCGTAAGGCTGCTCGTATTTGCATGGGCGAGCTAAAATATGTGTTTAATTGCAATAATTGTCAAAGTTCTTGTAAACAGCTATTACATTTCTTAGTTAAACATGCTTGATCTTCTTTAATCTAATTATAAATATAAATATTTTTGCTACTCACAGAGTTATCTAAGTTCTCTGCTTGTGTCTACAGTCCTCCACTAGAGCTGCTGAGTGAATTGCTGCATGGCACAAGTGCTGCTGTTTAGGGACTGGGTGCAGCCTGGACAGGGAGACCAGGGTGGAGTCCTGTGCTTCTGTGTGCTTGGTTTCTACCTGCAAGCATTGCAAAGAGAATTCTGTCTTACACTTTTGGAGCAAAAAGGGAGGGAAAGTTGTGCTTTCATTGCAAAGAAGTTGCTTACAGGATGACTAACTTCCTTGTGAGACTCATCCTTATCTGCATAGTAAACCTAGAGCAGCTTCGTGGAAAGTAAGATCTCTTGACAGAGACTGAAATACTTTGAAATTTATATTTATGTTACATTAAAAGTTTTGTATCTTGAAACTGGATGTTTTTGTCACTTTGTCACCTGCCTTATCTCTGAGCTTTGGTGCCTTCACACAAATGTGATAGTGTGTTCTTTTTGTAGGATCATATTTGTGAAATGACTTCTTGATTAATGTTACAGGAAATATTTCTGAAAGTTTGACAAGCTCCAACTGGTTAGGTTCAAAGCATTGAAAACTGATGATGTCTAAACCTGCTTTGCTGAAAGTCAGATATAAATTTATTCAAAACTGAAGAATAGGTGACAAAGACTAACTTTTTTTATTCCAATACAGTAGGAAAACCTACCCTGTTAAATCTCAGATAAGAACTGTATTTTTCACAAGTATCTTCTAAAACTTTTTAAACCTATGGATGTTTACTTATATAAAGTATGAACTTGTTTGTCTTATGCAAAAATTGGTGCACTCATTATTTCCATAACTGTTAGTACGTTTTTGGGCTTAATGTAGACTCTATAGAATGCTAAAATAATTGGTTATGATCTGTCTGAACAAAGTAGAATGTTTGTGCATATGTAACAATGGATGCATGAAAATATTAAGATGAAGTTGCATTTAGATGTTAGACTTAGATATTTAGAATTGTAAAAAGGAAAGATAGAGGTTTTGGTAAGTGGCTTTCTTTTGTGTGTGATCCCATGCATTTGGGGTTTAATTTGCAGGGGATAAAGGGTTAGAGCCTGCCTGTGCAAACAGAAACAAGTAACAGTGCCAAGGATTTATACATTTTTCTAAATTTTAAAGCATCTAACAGAGCTGTTCTTCTGTCTTGCCAGAAAAGGCAAGATTTTGACCCTTTGGCAGTATCTTTAATGAGATACTGCTTTTTTGAACATTACCTGACCAAAAGGTGCTGACACCATTGAGTCAACACAACTGTCCTGGCTTGTTTTTTAAATATTTGTAGGGAGTTCACAGGAGATAAGCTGACAACCAAGACAGAGACTCTAGAAATGTATTGTTTGTGACCTTGTGTCTCACATGCAAGAAGAGGGTTTTGTAGGAATAAGTGTGCAGTGAGTTCATGAGTCAATACCCGGGCGGGAGTGCAGCCGCTGCGGGCACGGGAGTCAGCTGCTTGCTGGGGCTGTGTAAAATATTCAGAATTTGCAAGAGGAACTGAATCCAGAAGCAAATTTTTTTATAACTAAAAAATAAAAAAGTCTCTTTTTTATTAACTAAAACTGGATGTTTACACCAAGGCAACAATATTTGTATCTTTCGTGGCCTGTTTCCACTGGCTCTGTAAAAACAATAAAGTGATGAGAAACATGCTAGTTAAAGGTGCATAGAACCCAGTCTGATGGTAGTGATGCACATACTCCCAAACCTAAATAATTATATAAAAGATTGGAAAAAGTCTTAATTGTGAAAATATGTTAGCAGTATGTAAGAATGTTGTAAACTTTCTGGGACAGTTTTTATCCAGACAAAACTGCAGCTGAATGGTTTTCTAATCTTCTATAGACAATAAATATAAATTGCTAATAGATCTACTAAAATTAATATAAACTAAACTGTAAAATAATGTCAATATAAAAACATTAAATCAACAGAGATCCTTGATTTTTAATTTCCTTTTACATTCTATGTAAAGATGGACAAATTAATTTTGAGAGGGTCCTGTTTGGGAGAGCCTATCTCATATTCTGTGGATGTCTAGAGAACTCTGCATTTACACCTTATAAATTTAATTCACAAAGCTGCTGTGCTCAGCTCAGACATGATGGCAGGATCAGTGCCTTCAAAATATTTAAGTGTATTTTTTTACTAATTACTTTTCCAATAGGTCAGCTGTATCAAAGCACTATTTGCCTAATGATCAACTGAACAAGTAATTTATTGTCAGTTGATAGAAAAGAGTGGCATTTCAAATGCTGTATTTATCTTACATTCAATCATTGGAATGAAAAATGTTATGGTAATATATATAAAAGATATTAAATGTTATACTAGTACATTTATAATTGATAAAGTAGAAAATATTTGTGTCTCATCTTGAGGAAAATTGAATTTTTGTTTTTGCACAAAGAGGATACAGGTCCCTAATTGTAATAATATATTTTGTCTTTTCTCCGTCCTTTTGGCAAGTAATGATCATTTCTGTTTTCATAGAATTTATTAACTTTTAAACTATCATTTATTCAATTACAAGCAAACTGTTTACAGTTAAAACCTTTAGGTTAAAATCAGTTGCAGATAATTTTAGTTGTATTTTAATAGACTACTTTTTGTGATTAACTGTAAATAGTGGCTTACTGTAAAAAGTGGTACATGTTTCTTGAAATACTTTTTCCTTTTTTCTTTGCTTGAAATTAAACTGTTAACATTCAATATTTTCAGTTTTGAAAACTAAAACAATTTATAGATTTATTCAATGTGAATTGATATAGGAAGGAAGAAAGAACTTATTGTGGTATTTTCTTGCCTGTCTTTTTTAGAAAGGGAAAAAATCTGTGAAATTATTAAATTTCTAGATAGAAATTAATCATTCTTGGTTTGTTTTTTACCTCTGTAGCAATTTAGCAGGAACAGTAGGACTAAATAAAGTCAATATTTTGATATATGAGGCATAACATTTTTTGACTAATTAATCACAAGTGTTTGTTCTTCATCAGCCATGATTCTTTATTTTATGATCTCCCATTTTAATTGGAATCCCACAATAGGCAAAATTTTTACTAACTAAATTCCTAAATTTACTGCAAGGATTCCAAAACAGACTCTAGATTGATTTTAATATTCAGTTGCCCTAGAGCTTCAGAAAACAAATGAAAATAGAAGAGCTAATCCATGGAGTTATGGAGATTGGTGAGCAGCCAGCTCCAGTACTGACACGGGTGGGGAGAAATAGAGCCAGAGAAGCAGCAAGTGCTGAGCCAGGTGTGCTGTGCCATACAACTGAATGAGCGAAACATGACACAAATGAAATTTTAAAAAATCTAAAAACCTGGCTGCTGAACAGATGCATGTGTTGTGTATGTCTCCTGTGTTTTCTAATGTCTTTTCACAGTTCATTTACTCATTAATGTAAAAGTAATGGGATATAGAGGATGGCACATGACTGAAATATTAGCATTCATGTGGTGGTGGTTTTTACGGAATGGATTTTGCTGTTTCCAAAGTCTGTTTAGGAAGCAAAACCATCCTGATTTAAATTGTTATTCTTTCCTGAATACTGTAGGGTTTGCCTGCCATTGTGTGAATTGATCTAGTTCTCCTGATTTCTTTAAAGAATTTACTCTCCTTGGGATGAACACAGCACAGCTGTGGGAAATTAATCCAGATAGCTGTAAGCCAGCTAGAGCTGAATCAAGAGTCTCCCTGTATTTTGGCATATCCTCTTCTGAAGTATGATATGTGCTGTAAAAAGTAACCCTGATGAATGGTGTTCCACAGCATATTAGCAATTTTCCTCTCCATTTCATACTTCTGTGATCACATTGCTAACAATCAAACCTGGGTCATTTTTGCAGGTCATGAATTTATTTGTATGCCATTCTCCTCATTCATAAGTCATATTCAGGCATCAAGTATTGTTTTGTTTGTGCAGCAGGACAGTGACATGCAGCCATTCTCATCCTAAGCTAGCTGTGCACCCATTGAAGATGGCTCAGGTTCACGGCTCGGTGGCCACCGAGGCCGGGCTCCAGCCGGCTGCTCCGCACGGTGGGGAAGCTGTGCGTGGGAGAGGGACCGTGGGGACAGGGGAGTTCCACGGCTTCCCTTCACTCTGGCCTCGGAAACAGAGCTTGCTTCTGCATACCGATTTCATCCGGCAGCCAATCTCAACACTGACATTTTCAATCTCTTTCTTTTATGTGACATTAGTGGGAAGTGACCTGTTGTGTTTGTGGAAGCTTTGGAATCCCGCAGGAGAAGGATCACTCAGCTCCGTGGCGGTGTGCCAAGTACAGCTTGTTCTGCAGCACAGCGCTGGGAAGTTGCATTATCAACTGGAGCGCGGTGTCGGCTTAGCAGGAGGGGGGTTAGGCCGGTGATTAGCGACTTGTCGTGACCAGCGAGCCCCCAGGGTACCCTGCCCCTCTCCCCTTGCTTTCTAGTCCTGCCTTCCCTCCGCCTGGCCTCGGAGGTGGCCCTGCAGAGCTCCAGTGCCGCTCTCCTGTCCCTGCGCCGTGCTCAGCGTGTCCCGTGCGCTGGCCGTGTCTGTAAGGAATAGTTTCTTACATCGCTTCGTTGTTCAGAAGTCATGTTTTGTTCCGCAAATGCTAAAAGTGTAAAATTTAAAGTTCGATTTTATTTCTGCTGTCCTACTTCTTTGTCCTGTTTGATGAAGTCAGCAATCCTACCATCATCTCAAACTCTGCTAGGATAATAAATCCATATAATCAATACAGAGGAGTAAAATAGTTTAGGCAGTAGAAAAGGGAAGTAGCTTAAATAAGTGTCTTGCAGATGGAAAAGACATAATGTGTGCTAAAAATACAAATGTGTTTGTATTGTTCCAAGAATTCCTGATTAGCAAGAACAAACGGAGGGTAGACTAGGATTTACATGAGGAGGTTTGAACTTGAGTAGTAGTAGGAAAGGAGGTACTTGAACCCGTTTTTAAAAATGCTTACTACAGACATTGACATAGAACAAATTGTCAGGCAGAGCAGAGTCATCTGACCTTTGTCCAAGCTCCCAGCATTAAAACTTCTCATGGGCTTGCTTTTAGCTGCAGTTCTGAAATCTGTGTCTGCTCTTTTTGGAATAAAACACAGCTACATATGGAGAATGTAGGCTTTTCCCAGGTGAGCAGTGAGACTCGGCCGCAGTGCTCCCTGCTGCAGGGTACCCACAGACAATGGGTCCTCTGCATGCAACTGTGCAGAGCTCTGCAGGCTTCACTGCCAGCAGGGTGAAGCTTCTGCTTTCCCTGTCCTGCTGGGAAAAGTCTGTGACTGACAAATCCCCCTGAGGGGCCCACATGAGCCTCTGCAGCCTTTGGTACTGAAGGTGGCAGCTGTGGCAGAGGGCAGTGGTGAAGAGTTGTGCGTGCTCATATGGTGTCTGTGGCTAAAATAAATGAGTAAATGCACTAGAATAACTTGTGTAAGGCAAGAAGATGTCTTAAAATCTGGAGTTGAACAAATTTATATTAAAAGTCAATGTCAAATAAAAGTACTGTACATGTGGAGTAGACTTTCAGAGGAAAGAGAATATTTGTATAATATGGACATAAATGTGGTTTATACATATCTATGCATAATGTAACCTTCAAGGGCCAAGCAGAAGAGAAGAAAATCCTAATCTGAAAAGAATGATGGAGGTTGGTGTGTCATTTTAAGGAAGGATTGATGGCTTCAGAATTGTTGGAAACAATTTTTACAGATTTCACTTGAATGTCTGACTAACAGCTTATGGTAATTCACATTAGCTTTTCACTGACTAAGCTAAGCATCTTATGGTACTGCTTGTTCCCATTAGTGGCAAATGCTATAAGCTATACATTTCAGTTCAAAAATACCTTTGCATTATTTGATTCTGTATGCTTTCCTAAATGAGGCAGTAAAAATGCTGAAAAGGTTGAAAGCTTTAAGCAATGTTAGTGCATGTTTCATGCAGCAATTGCAAACCCACTGTGTATGTCATTGCATTATTATATGGATATAGCACATATTTTGCAAAATAGTGATTAAAATTAAGCTATGAAATACAAAACTAAATCTAATGATCATGAATCCATTGTGTTTTCAGAAAGGGTGAGCTGACTGACAAACTTTCAGTCAAGAATGGAATGTACAGAAACACTCAAATTCTTTAGTTTAATATAGTTTTATTTGGCAGTGGCATGGATTCAGGTCATTACCCTCAATCTTTTTAAATCATTGGAATGAGAATTTCTCTCAGTCTTCCATGAATACACCCCACTTTTGGGTGATGAGGGAATGTCTGTATAGCTCACACCCAGGTACATCATGTGCATGGAATCAAATCTACCAGGGGGGTCTGGAAAATGAAGTTGTAGCAAGAGGAATGCTTCATCAGGTCTGATTCTGCAGCCACACCTGGCAGGGAGCTGCCCTTGAAGTCACACACATTTTGTGAGATTTATTGCCCTACTTTTGCAGACTCTGGAGATTTAGAGAAGCATCCAAACTTGCATGTGTTTGGATGAACTGAACTGTTTGATTTCTGAAGGACTCAAACTAGAGGAATGGGTTATTCCTAAATTATGGGAAGTTTGGGTCTAAATTAAAATGCTCATATAACATTGAGTTATATGGTGTGTAAATGAAAGAATGCCTATTGTGGTGTCCTTAAAGCCACATTGTCTCATGATCTCAGTCTTAAATTTTGATTGCTCCTGGGCGGTCATAAAGACACACTGTGAGTAGATAAGGGATGTCTCCAGAAACACCCACTCCTGCCGTGGGTCCTTGCAGCCCTCCATGGTCCTGGTCAGCAGTGTCCCTGCTGCCTTTTCCCACATTCAGCAGAGCCATCTGCACTGCTGCCTTATCTTGCCAACGCCCTTGCCCTGTCCTGCCTGAGCTGGGCAGGTGCTACACCATGGCTGTAATCCAAGAGTCTAACCACAGCCCATGGAAATCCTTGGGATTTGAGTTAAACTTGAAACCATTTTGTGTTTTAGTTTCCAAACTATAAAATGGAAAAAATTACCACCTTTCTTCAACATTTCCTTTTATCCTTTTTTAGCTGCATGGTACCTATGAAGATTTGAATTCCAATCTCAGTTCAGTCTAGACTCTATGGTAATAAAAACTGATTTTACTAGAAATAAGCTGTAATGTATTTACAAGCTTTGTGTCTCTTTTCAGTCAAATGCCAAGTTTCAACTCAAACTTTGAGAGTTGTCGTAACAGTTTTCTGCACCCACTGGGATGTGCTTATCAGCAATATTCATTGCAGTTATGTGTACTTGCTTTATTTTTTTACTGTCTCCTTGATCTTTCTCCAAGCTTGCAATTCTGTGACCATTTCTGGTTTTATACCCAAGAGCAAAAGCAAACCAGGAGGAATTTGATTAAAGGTTTAGCACAAACTCTTCGATACTGTGTCATTATTAGCAAAAAGCACTTCCCATGAATTAGAACATTTGCACTGTTAAGTGGATAAAGGTACAATAGAATTCACAGATTTACTTAATATTTTTGAAAGAAATAAAATCCAGTTCTCTGTAGAGATAATTCCATGGGAACTAAAAGAGGCAATTTGTCATCTTAATCACAGATGGTACTATACAAATTCTTGTATATAATCTGCTGGTACAAAACTGTATTATAATGATAAAATGCTAAAAGCTTCATTTAAATAACAATAGGGTCATCTTGCAAGATGACACTCTCCCATCTCATGGATGAAAAGGAAACAAAAATATAGAATTACAGCTCTTATTTGCAAAAAAAAGATAAATTTTCAAAATCGAATAAATATATGAGATCCCGTCAGCACCATCTTTCTCCAACTTCCTGCCACTGGTGCTGTGATCTGTTGTGGCATGACTCCAGCTTCACTGGGAGTCTCTCTGGTGAGACCCTGTGAGCTGTGCTCTGCTGCCTTCATGCTGATATTAACTGCCTCCAAATCTGTCCACCTTTCCCACGTAACACTGTTTATTTAATTCATTATGGACACACTGATACAGTGGATGTAGCAGTCTTGTACATTGCATTCATACAATTTCATAGTACAATTTCATAGCTAGGCTTGTGTTATTAATTAGTTATTAAACTTAGCTGAGTTTCTGGATGATCAGCCTTCCAAAATTCAGCCTCTAACTACTTATAATTGCTCTTAATTTGAAATGTTGGCATGTAAGTTTAAACATCTTCCTCACCACTTTTTTTCTAAAAATACATTGCCATAACTCACTTTTCTAGTCTGTCAAGGAAGGACTATAATTAACTTTTTTGACCTAAGCATTATTTGGGAAGCTTAACTAACATGTGTCCTTTGTAAGAGAGATTTTTATTATAGTAAAAGCTCAAAGAAAGAGTTAAGGATGAAACTCTAATTAAAAAATCACCTTCATGAGGAAAGGACTGTAAATAAAGTGAGGGCATAAAGAACTTACTCCCATTGCAGTCTCATAGCTGCAAGGGGCCTTGAGCACATGCTTTTTCACTTTTAGGGGCCCTCTACATAACACAAATTAAAACCAGGGCATGCCTTTTCTTAGAACCTGTGCCAGGCATTTTATTTTCATAGGTGTCAATTCTAAAATCATTCTTTCTCTTACTTATACTTTGATGGAGGTGGAAGAAATGAGTGGAGAAATGAACTCTGATTACTTGAATAAAAAGTGTTAGTCATTTTGGACCATTTTCTTTCCATCCTGCAGGTTCCTGGCTGACCCTTACACATGGAGTTGGGGGTGGGGAACAACACCAGTCTAGACAGAAGAGGCCAACAACTAGTTGTCCACTCAGGTTTCAGATTATAAATGAAAAATGTTCAATTTCTCACAGATGTTTGGCAGCCACTCTGCTTTCACTCTAATCGCAAGCAGGATTTCTTCTGCCTGAAGAATGCAGTGACCAGGAGACATCCAGAGACACACAGAATAATGATTCCATCTGCTGTGGCTTAGGTTTATCAAACAATAAGTTTCTAGAAGTGAGATCACTAGGACTATGGTATTGCTAAATGTATTAACTTACTCAGACCTGGCACATCTTCTTTTAAAGTTTTGTGATTCAAATGTTTCTTTCCTGTAGAATGAAATTTGTAGAAATTAGTAGATTTGTTAGAGGGATTAATTATGCCTTTAAATGTAATACAGACAGTATCTGTAAAGGTTCTTGAAGGATTAGGAAAAAACATAGAGATAAAAACTACGTATGCCCAGTTTACAAATAAAGGAATGGGGTTTTTTTCTCTGCCACTTAGTTTTAACATTACAATCTGAAAACTGAGGCATTAAATACAACATTCTTAATTTCTCTTAGGATACTCAGAGCTTCACAGTTGCCAGTTACCATGTCAAATTACAAACATGTTGTAACTCAAGTTTAAAAACACAGCTCTTTTTTTCCTCTTTGTTACAGAAGGGTTGGATTTAACAGCTAAGTGTTCAAAGGCTTAGGTCTGGTCTGAGCACAAGCAAAGGTTGTGCAGGTTGCCCCAATCTTCTCTCAGATTATAAACAAAAAATAAATTCCTTTAATATTAATTGAACAGGAAAAAGGGAAGATAATACCGATTGAGCATTTTTTGACTGTCACAATGTCATAGATTTAGACAGTTGGGCTGTCAACAAAATATGGTGCAAGAATGTGACAGCAAAAGCAGTCCAGAGGAAAGCAGGATAGGAAATAAAGAAAATATTGTAGATTGAGCCTTAGATAAAGAACTTTTAATATCTATGTAACTAGAAACTGATACTCTTCTGCTTCTGAGCATGGCTTGTTCTAGGTGTTCATAGACAACTTTAGTTTATATTTCAAAATATGAAATGAGGAAATTTGGAGAAGCATTTTATTTCCTGTACAGTTATCCCAGATGTGAAAGCACCCAATGAGTCAAAATCCTGTTGTGGCTCTTACAGAGGTTCTGTTCTGAGGTGCATTGGGCAATACAAACAGAAATATTACACTTTAAAAGGAAACAGAAGTTGTCAGCTGAAAAGCAGGAGGAACTTTGTGACAGAGTGACATATTTGATTGTGAAATAGTCTCCCAGAGAAAGTGCTGGAAACAAAATCATTTGGAACATTCAGGAGTTGATGAACAAAACCCACTGGAAATACAAGGGGCCCATCATGCCTTGGCAGACTAATGGCTGCTTTTTTCCTTGGATTATCAGGGACTATAATTTATTACTTTGTACAGGAGATATCACAATATGTAGAGATGAAGTTTCTAGATAATATCACAATTCAAATGACATTAAAATAATACTGTCTCACTAACCCTTGGGAATGAAAACTTACTTAAGTTATGCAAAGAAACCAAAGAACCTGCTGTTCACAGTTAAGGAGCACAAAGGACAAGCTGGCAGTTCAGTGCAGCCTGGTAAGGACAGCAGCTCAGTGCTCCTGCTTTGATCCAAGTGGAGCCAAGAAAGAATTCAGAGGATGGGTTAGTGGACATGAGAGAAAGGGAAGTATCTGGGGAGAGGAAAACAGGGGCAGAGGATTGGAACTGTAACCAGAAAAATATAAGAGAGCTTAGAGGAGAAGTGGGGATGTATTAACAGGAATGGAGGGGGGTTGGGAAGGGACCCTGGGGTCCTTTCACCCTGGGGAAGGCACACAGTAAAGCTGCATGAAGTAGCTGCCAGCCAAGCTGGGCATGTGTCTCAGGGTGGGCAGCCAGCACCACTGGTGGCTTCACTGATGCTGCTGTGACAGAACCTTGCATTCCAGGCTGAGGAGCCCTGAGGCAGTCATGAGCTGTGCCTTACCCATGAGAGGAGAGATCGCTCCTCAATGAAATACTTCCCTTCTGAAGTGAGACTATGACACTCAGATTATATTGAGTGCTGCAAAAGGTCTTCCTGGCAAAGAAATGAGAATACTACAGCAGGCTGAGGTTAATTCTATTGGAAAACTGCCTGGCAAATTAAATGTGTCTCAAACTGACACAAAAAAAACAAGCTATGGAAACTTTATCTTAATCAGTGGGGGTATTTTTTAATTAATGCAGCAGTTTGGGACTGATTCTTTCTTTTAGGTGCAGTAGGATGTGGTATTGTGTATCTTGTGCAAACAGCTGTTGCCTTTGTGCTTGTGCTCAGGAACAGATCTCTTTAATGATTCACACCTCGTAGCATTTCTGTGCAGGAGCTGTCACTGCCCCGGAGCTGCTGCACTTCCTCATGTGTTGGGCTGAGCTCCAATAGGGGATGCAAGAACATTTATGATAAATACTGAAGATTCTCTTAAGTCTAAAATTATTCTTCCTGCTGAGGGGATGAAGTAGGAAGGGAAAGAGTTTTTCTATTATGCCTCAAAAGTGCAGAATCACTTTTGGCTGTAGCCCTAGAAATCCTCCTTCACAGGAGAGGTGCAGTGAAGGATTAAATGAGGTCATGCTTTCATCTCCCTCGCACCTACTTCATTCTGGTGTGCAAAGGGCTGATAAGAACAGAGCTCTGTATCAAAAGTGTGTAATGGGGAAGAGAAGGGAAGAGGGGAACCATAAGGGAGAGGTGGGAGGAGAGTTTCAGAGCCTTAGCACCTCCCTCCTGAGAGGTCACAGTAGTTCACAGCAGTCAGTCTTCTGAGGAGACCTTTCTTCATGCATGCTGCTCATGCGTGTCCTTATAGCAGTGAATCACTGGGAATTCAAACAGCTCACATGAACACTGCCTCTTAACTTGATTTTCCATTGCTTACGTTAATCTTCCATTTTATGAATGAAGGCAGTTGCTCTACCCAGGGCAGGAAATCAAATGTATTACTTTTCAAGACAGGATGGCAGAAGTCCAAACACATCTAACAGGGGAAGGAAGCAATATTATCAGCCTTTCTGGCCCAGTGATAAAACCATGGAAGGAAATCATTCAGCTTTAAATGAGGAAAAGGAAGTCTTAGATAAAATTCAGAAGTTGCCTTGGGAATTTTCATATCACATCAATGAAAAAGTCACATTCAATTAACCAAGCATTCCAGTCTGTATGAAGGGCTTTATTTATGACATCAAAGCAGAACTATTTACAGTTTGTGACAAGCTTCTCCACAGTGGATCAGTTGACATTTTTCTGGCCTGTCTACTTAGTCAGATACCTTTTCTCTAAGCTCTTCTTTATGAAAAAAAAACCTGCTGCAGCTGCCCTGATTTTTTTGTTCCATTCATGTAATAAAATCCTATTTTTAGTCACCATTGCACGCAGAGTATTTTGACATTTGGGTCTTATTTTTAATTTTAAAAATTCCAATTATTAATATTCAGAGAAAATAGTAAATACAGTTACTTTGGGGGTTTGTACCTAAGATGGTATCTCTACTGACAGTGTCATGCCATGTAGAAATAGTAGTTTGAGGTAGCAGTATCTCATTAATCACTGCAGTGTAC